ACAAAGTACTTGGAGGGTCGGGGGATTTAGTATGTTTTGTAGACTTCTACGTAGCAGAACCGAACTTGAATCCTTTCTAACCAAAAGTCTACTTACTACCTACTTACTAAATCCCCCGACCCTCCAAGTAGTATCATGCTCCAACATGCCCAATATGACAAGAGTATCAACCAAAGTGCACTCAGCGAAACATACGCGAAGCCCCTGACTCCCGTGCCTCTTCGTGACATGTTTTCCCGCCATGGCCAGCTGGAACAGCGTTCGCTGATCAGTTGGCCTTTGTGGGTGCCTTCCGCATGGTCTCCAACCAAAACGGACGAATGCAGAAGCACTCGTCACTTCTGTCACATAAGTGTGTTCATTCACCTGGACAGCATAACAAATTACACAACAGATAGCTGACATCGCAGCCCTGTTTTCAACGCAAGCTGCAGAATTTCTCGATGCTCAGCAGACAGCGTCGGACTCTGATTCCGACGACTCAGTCATGCGGCCACCTGCGGCATACTTCTTAATGGCGCTGTGGCTGTGGTAAGTCTCACCGTGAGTGTGCTCATCAACACCGCCAAGCTCTTGGTCTTCTGGAATTCGAAGCTTGAACAGCAGCTTCATGACTCCCATGATGATGGCAGTGCCCACAGCGGAGAAAGCCACACCAGCCAGCGCGCCAGCAATCTGCTTGCCCAACAGCACGAAGCTACCACCGTAGATGAGGCCTTCCTCAACTGCAAAGATGCCCGTCAAGATGGCACCGGCAAAGCCACCAGAGCCGTGCAAGCCGAAGGCGTCAAGAGTGTCATCCACCAAGTTGATCCTGTTCACAATCTCAACAGTGGCGTAACACCAAGGAGCGCCCAAGGCGCCAATGGCAATGCTCCAGCCAGGCGTCACAAAGCCAGCAGCGGGTGTGATGACCACCAGACCTGCAACGGCACCGACAGATGCACCCACGCTGGTTGACTTGCCCTTCAGGACACGCTCAAGCGTCAGCCAGGTCAGCATGGAGGAAGCCGCAGCCACGAAAGTGGTGGCCACTGCACGAGCTGCCACTCCATCTGTGGTGGACAATGCAGAGCCACCGTTGAATCCCAACCAGCCAAACCAAAGGAGGCAGCCACCCAAGATCACGAAGGGGGCGTTGGCTGGGCCCAGGTCCTTCTCAACGTGCTTGCGTGGGCCAAGGATTGCACCGGCAACGAGGCCGGACACACCTGAGCTGATGTGGACCACGGTTCCACCTGCAAAGTCGAGAGCTCCCAGCTGGCCAATCCAGCCGCCAGGTCCCCAAACCCAGTGGCACAAAGGTGCGTAGATCAGAAGGGACCACAGGGCCAGCATGATGCAGTAAGCACTGAAGCGCACACGTTCCACCAAGGATCCGGAG